TCTGAGCGTCAGTTGGAGAAACATTACTGTATGTTCTTCTACGAGAACCGTTCTAGCCAGCAAAATTATCGTGCTCGACAAATCCTCGAGCTAACGTCCTGAAACGGCCGGCTCTCTCTCTCGTTGTTCACTGTCGCTCCTTTCGCGCAAGATCATTATCGTCTTCCCGGCACGGCAGCATGATCTCGGCCGTGTGCTCTCCGTTGTATCTCGATCCTTCCGTGTCATTTACTCAGCACCTTCGGTGTCATTAATGCGGACGATACTACTTCTACATACACACACACATCCGTTTATATCTCCTCTCGACTGACTGTTTTTTTGGTCTTCGCTGTCGTGTCTCTTTGCCATCTGTTCTCTCTACGATCTCTCTCCGGACTCCGGACTCGTCTCTCTACCATACGTGTCCATTGTACCGCTGTCGGTCTCGATTATCGCCAACAAGAACTTGTCGACCACGTTTCGAGAGAGAATAATCAGAGAGACGAACTTTCGAATTCGCGGCGCGCCGGTCTTTAGAAACTCGCGTCTGAAAAGAGATCGAACAAACCAAATGACCGCGACAGAGAAACTGATGATCTTTCCAAAACGCCGAAACATGAAAACGATATACTCGCCCGACAAGAGTTTTGAACGATACAACCGTCTCCCACACGTAATTGCGTACGATTTTTTACGTACTTCAATTGATTACCTATTATTATTATTATTATTATTATTATTACTATTATTATTATTATTGTTATTGCTATTATTATTATTACTACTACTACTATTATTATTAGTATTATTATTATTGTTGTTGTTATTATTACTATATGATTATTATTATTATCATTATTATTATTATTAGTGTTATTACCATTATTATTACTATTACTATGACTATTATTATTATGCGTATTAGAGTCGCTGTAGATAGACACCTTTGATTTCTCCCGACACCTTTTTACCTTAGATATTCGATTCCAGGTAGTAGAGATTTTCTTAGAGGCATAATAAGATAACGTTAACGTGAACATTACAGATTCTGCTATTACCGATAGCTAGTGAGTACTTGTGCAACCAGTCGCTCAGTTCAAGATTATTTCAGTTCACATACTTAGGCATACGCAGCTGATCCTTCCGTATCCGAATCGACAACTTTTAATCGGCTTTAATCGCGTTTCGCAGTGTCGCGAAGAAAAAAGGACCGGCAAGAAAAATGATAAAGATTCGCTAGAAAATATTGAGTGGGTCATTTCGAATGGTTCACACCGTATAAACTCGCTCTTTTGTATTCGCGAATGATTAATTGCAACAAAGTCGAAAGTTTGTTCGTATCTTGCTCGGAAAAATTGGAGATTGTCCTTCTTAAACAATTTTTTATTCGATCCTAAGCAAAAGCTTGATTTCGATTGAAATTTCGCGATTTCGAGCGACTCAATGGCAAGGTTTTTTTTGGACGTCGAACAGTCTGAATGGTCCGTTCGGATACAGGAGGCTCCGCTGCACGCTTCGCCGTTTCTTTTTCTATTTCACCAATTTTGAATTTTGTTTTTTTTCCGATTGAACGTTGCCACGTGACATTCTGCAACGACTGGTATAACTATTTGCTACGCTTCCGATTTCGCTAGATAGAACTTGGGTCCGATTTAAACGGCGGACAGTTTCGGCCATTTTTCTGGAGGCTGAGCGATCGAATATCACCGAGAAGTTCTCGAAAATAACCTCGAACCTTGTGAAAACATTTTGGGGAAGAATTTGCAAAAAAAGGGCGATACAATTTATCGTAAATATATTATTCTACGCTTGCGTGCTTGTTGCAGTGGGCAAAATTTAGCCAGAGAACATCTGTTCGCGTATCAAGATCGTTTTTAAATGCAAATAAAATTTATATTTTCTTCTTTAATATCTTGATAGCGCATAAAAAGACGAGTCGAACGAGTATAATGATTATACTCGATAAATTTGCTTCTCGTTTAAATGCATTTTATAGTATCCGTCATTTATTTGTTACAAGATACAGAGAATTAACTGCGATTTAACCGTTGAGTCGACGTTAATATAAACGTACAATTTTTCTATATAAACAATTATGCCTTTTGAACCAGATTTTAAAAAAAGATTCATTTTCTTTCTGCTCTTCGGTGATATTCGACAACAGCGTCCGATGAAAAATGAAAGAGACAGAAGACGCGCGGATAATTGTTCAAGATACTTTAACAGTAGAGATTTGTTCTAGCCGCTTTGCTCAGCTACGAGCGTTGCAAATATTGATTTTTTAACGAACACTCGGTGGTAACAGCCCTTCCAGTAATTATAATTATAGCACCGTCGTGTGTCGTACCGTTTCTTACAGTATTACACCACAGCTTATGTAACATTCGCTTGATAACAACATACCGAGTATCTTGTTGTACACGACCGCCTATTTACTTCTTGTCTGAATACAAGACACATGTATTTTGTATATCAGTGGAGAACAGACACGCCGATCTTGCAGAATGTGACTGTACAAGCTTCGAGTGACAGTTGTTCTTGCTGTCCACCCGACCAACCTGCTTAATCGCTGCCCACGAAGCGTCTTCCATTCAATTTTTACCGATATTTCTCGACGAACCGTCCGCACCGATCGCGAACAGTTGGAATCGATCGTTGATCGAGATAGAAACCGATTCTTCGTTACGTCTTTTTTTTCTTTTTCAATTTAATCTCGAAGAGGAGAATTTCGGTTCTTGACCACCGTCCGCCATTTTGGTCTCGCTGATGTATGCAATTTTCGTAGGATTATTTCATAAAATAATTCTATAAAATATTATCAACAATTTACAAACTGATTAGCCGGATTCAAGAGTTTGGTCGAGCTCTGGACAATTAGTTCCCTTTCAAATGGTACAATTAAAAATGACAGACGAAATAGGATGTTGGCTCGAGATGAGGTAAAATTGATTGATCCGCGCAAAATGGCGGCACAGGCGGCTACGAAAAATCTCCGAGGAGCCGTCGCGGAATCTGCGTAGTCAACAAGTTAGCGAATCGGCTCGACCCCGATCGCCGAAATAATAAATTGAATCTTGTCCCGCGAGTAACAAGGACGCCATTCGTCCTTTAAACAGGATTTGATCCGCGACCGTATCCGTCCGTGAGGAATAACCATTTCCAAGCCGATGAATAATATCGTGATTACCGAGCGGGGACACAATTTCAGCCCGGAATTACCGTTTAAAGTATTCAAATCCGTGTTCGGGCTGACATTCGGCGCCGGTTACGTAACCGAAACGCGCGTTTTCGGATCGCCGCTACCATAAATCTTCATCTTACGACCCGTTTTTGACTGGCCCGGCCGGGAAAACGCGCGATAAAACGAACCCGACCGAAACACAGTCGGCGGTTGCAAGGAAATCGTTCGCGAAAAATGTCCACCGCGTCGCGTTCCCAAGTTTTTTAACGCTAGATTTACGGAGACCCGTCAAAGTGACGGGTCGCCGATTTTTTAATTTACGATTGTTCGCATCGTAAAGATACATTTATGTGTTGTTTATTCAATCTATATGTTACTTACGGCAAGTAGTAAAACAACACTTGTTAATAATCAGAATAAACGTCTTGTAAACCAATATGAAACAGCGTAAATCTAGCGTTAACAACGGACAGCGTATCGCAAAATTCTTCTTATATTCTCTCCGCGACGTTAAAAATATATATACTTTCGTTATTTATTTGGAAAATTGCGGATCGGATAAATCCTCGGCTAATCGCTTCACCGACCTTAATCGCTTTTTAGCAGAAACATTGCCGAGGGAATAAACCAGAAAATAGAGCTGTAAATATTCCTTTTAATTAACATCGGCTACGAAAGAATATCTTTCGCATCGAACAATACGATCGATTTAAGCTACATAATTCGATGAAACGTTTCGGTTTAGCGTGGATCGGTGTGCCGCGCACGATCAGCGACGCGATTCGATTCGCGGCCATCAAAGTTCAGGGACAGAATTATTTCACGAAAGAGCGATGTTAATTGGCTGCCGGCGTCGAGCAATTTAACGCCATTGGATTATTTTCTTCGGGATCGCGCGGCAAGGAAAGTGTACGCTCGTTAATCCGTTAACGAACTCGGCGACCAGATTCAGCGTATTACGGCGACCGGAATTCCCGGAATTAACAGTTTACACGCCGAATCGGTTGGCAAATCTTCGATCTCGCGATCACGGAGCTCGCGGAGATCGTAGAAAATCGCCGGAATCGCCGGCGATTCGATCTCCAAATCGAGCGAAACGATTCGAATTCCTTTCGAAACCGCGACAGAAATGTTCGGAGATTCGCGCGGCTGGTTCTTGCGTTTAATTTTCTTATTTTTTGAACTTCAGCAAAAATAACAGCTACGGAAGCGTGGCTACGATCAACGAGTCCGACTCGTCGTGAAAATTTCTGCTAACAACTTAAATTTTTGCTGATAACTTGTCGAGCACCGACGTTATTCCGTGTCCCTTAAAATTGGAATAAAGTTCTAATAAATCTCGAACGTTTCCAATTCTAAATCTAGACGTATCATTCTAAATTCTAAACTAATTCTGAACGCGATCACACTTCCAATATAAATAATTCTCGTCGTCGATATTCAAGCGTTCGAGCGAATTCGGTCGCGCGACGAGCACAAACATCCCCTTCCGAGAGACGATTGGCGATCGAAGAATTTCTAATCGCGGCAACCGCGAAGAGAAAACGGCGCCGCCAAGGGGTTAAGAACGGAAACGCGATTAGACGGTGTCGAGTATCCTCGAAGGAGAGAGAGCGAAACGGTAATCCCCTGATTCGAGGGATCAGGATCAGGATCGCGAGGACATCGGCGCGCGCGCGCTCAGGGAGCCGTGTAATCGGTCTAATGAAGACGACCTTGTAGAGCGGGAAGACGCTTCGAGGGTCGCGTGTAATCGGTTACCCCGGTTCCCTTTATCTCCTAACCGTCGATCTGAGTCGCGGTGATACTTTAGGCCACCGGATTGTCTCGGTTGCAGCATCCTAGGGATGTACCTGTTCGGGGGTAAGTTTTGCATGAGGTCGGACCGGCGTCGGCCCTGCACCTGTGCCGAGGTGGTCTCGCGGCACCCAAATTGTCGCTGTGATCGCAAACATTTCAACGACATCGTCTGGGCACTAGTCACGGTCTTTCAGGTACCACTGTTCCTCCCTCTTACAGCGAAACGAATATATATATATTCAAAAATGATCTTTCGATGCTACTTTTTAAGCGAGTCTCGATGAATCAAAAACACTGTATATGCACTAAGTAATCATGAGCACCCAAGGTATTCTATTCTTTCACTGTATCTCTATGTCTCTATATCTCTATGTCTTCTGTATCTCTATGTCTCTGTATCTGTATCCGTGCTTGTATATCTAACGCCTAACACATATCCGTATATTCCGTATTCTATATATCTCTCTATTACCGTATCTCTATGTCTACATATCTATGTACCTGTATTCATATTGCTGTATCTCTGGCTCTGTATCTGTATGTAACGTCCACGTCTCTGTATCTAGATGACTCGGCTCCTGCATATATTTTCCGGTAATTATGCAGACACGTATACAGGGTGCTCGCCTAAGATGCTGCTGTTTATTTAACCGAGGGTTCGTTTTATAAGCTGCCACCTCGCGGCGGCAGGGATAGAAGTTGCTCTCACCCGAATACAGCGATGTCTCCCTAACTGGCGCTTTGATTCTACTGAGAAATGGACAATTCCGGAACAGGAGATACGATTGTCCGGGCATCTAGTTTTTATAATTGTTGACAATCGGTAACTATAAAAGCAAGTCGCAAGGCTCGAATTCGCAAGACTCTTCTTTCCAAATTGCCCAATTTTGGGGACAATCCGAGCGTCGATTAGAGAGACATCACTGTACAGTAATGTCTCCCTAACTGACGCTTAGATTAGGAGATACGATTATTCCGATTTTGTACCATATTTTTATAATCGTTGACGATCGGTAACTATAAAAACAAGTCGCAAGGCTCGAATAAACGTATCTCCTCTTCCCAAATTGTCCATTTCTGTGGACGATCTGAGCGTCAATTAGGGAGACATTACTGTCGGTGGCACCAAGGATTTTCGTGATCGTTCAAGCGCTTGCGATAAATTTATCTTCGACATTTTTTTGGCATTTTTTAGCATTTTTGACAAATTATTTTTCTCGCGAGCAATATGCTGCTTAAACGTTCGAACGGGTGCAAAATGGGTGAATTCTTTTAGTCGTTTTCGGTGGGAAAATTATAATGCGAGGTACGAAAGCTTTTGCGTGGCGAGAACGTGAAAACGACGAGCATCGAATTTTGTATTTTCAGTTGCTCCATCTTTCGCGTTGTCATTTCGAAGGAAATTCTATCGAATAACTTTTGCGATAAGAGTAGGCTGTTTACGCCGAGAGCTGTTCGAAATAAATTATCAGAATTTTTGAGATTGATTTTTGTGTCGCGGCAAGTTCTCCGAGCAAGATCGAACGATTTATCGCAAGCCCAAGCACGTGATCACTCGAATGTTAACAGGCGACCACCCTGTATGAATTTCAGCATCGGTTGTATCTCTGTCTACAGTTGCATCTTCGGTGTGTTTGCGTTGCCCATTTCCGTGCAATAATGTTAACCGAAACAAACGCGGCCGTGCAACGTTGCATAAATCAACCAGCACGACCGATCCTGTAGCCGGAAGGTGTTTAACATTATTGCTTTTTATACCGGGTGCCCGAAAGTCAGAGCTAGAAATTCTCGATCGAAACTGTCGAAACCGCGTTCCGCAAAAGCGTTTTGATATCCCTCGTTGAAGCTTATCGATAATAATAATTATTTGCTGTCGCGGTTTGAAAATTAATCGAGCCCGCGAAAAATTACGAACTACGGTCTCTGGAATAATTATTGCTCGGTATTGTTACACGATACAATTATCGTTACTTAATTTTGGTTACTCGGACCGACGGAACGAACAAATTGGCCAAACCGGAAGCGGATCAATCATGGAGAAAATGGGTCACGCAAATACCGTTAAATCGTAACTACTCTTCTCGAATATTTTTCCGCTTTTTCGCTCTTTCCTATTTCGATTCATTTTCTCTACGATTTCTTCTCTCTCTCTTTCTCTCTATCTCTCTCTTTCGCTCTCTCTTTCTCTCTTTCTTTTCCTCTCTTCTTTCCATCATGTTTCTCACACTCATTCACTCACGCTCTACATACGGCTTTTTAAGCGCCACGACAGATGATCAACGTGCTGACGAGTTTCTCTCTCTTCTCCCGACGTTTTCTTACACTTTGCCAGTCGCTAAGAAAACGAATTGTTCGACTAACAGACACGACGACCCGTTGCAAGTCGACGGAGCGAGGTCGATCCCGCGCGGGTCGCGTTCTTCCGCTCTCTCTTCTTCTTTTTTTTCCTTTTTTTTTATTCTCTCTCTCGCGGAATAACTGCATCCGTGGAATAACAACCGCATTTGTAAAATAACCCGCGTCCCGTTTCGCCGGTGATCGAACTGCGGCGCTTCGAAGACGGACCACGAGTACGCGATTTCACCCCGGCCAAGCATTTTCGGAAAAAAGAAAGCATTTCCTAACTTTCGCGGGGACACGCCGCAGTTCGTTGCTGCGGCACGGGAACGAGTTGAAAGAGCAAAGAACCGTGGCTAAAGCACCGCGGTCGACTAGCAACCACCCTTTGAACGGTAACGCTTTCGTTGTGCAGAGAGAAATTCGTGGTGAGATTGGTGCAAGATGTGAGAAAAAGGAGAAGTATGAAGTACGAGGCGACACTGATCGGCACTACTTCGTTCTCTCGGGACTAACCATATTTTTTTTTCTTGTTTGTTTGTTTTTTGTCGAATGTTTGACGCGTGTTCCATTTTACCATTCGAGCCGTAGTGGATATACAGATGAAACTAGAGTTGTTTACCGAATAGAGAGACGGCCGACGTAGCCGATAGCGATCGCGCGAATTATTATAGCAGTAGGAGTTCTCTGCCTATCGTTCGTCTCGTGAGATTCATTCCTGCGAGTAATCGTGCCAGACAGATTCCAGCTTACAGCGGCCCTTTTCTTTTTGTTCTCACGGACGTGTAGATCCTGACGCAAGAAGATTGGAACGTTGTGCTCTTCAACGGCATGCAGAAGACCTCCCATTGGGCAGCGCTCTACTTCGTCGCCCTGATGACCTTCGGGAACTACGTGCTCTTCAATCTCCTGGTCGCCATTCTCGTCGAGGGCTTCTCCTCGGAGGTATCGTCGCCGCTAAGCCCCGAGAACTTTGCCGGGGAAATCAAAGTTCCTTTCACGGCTATTGCAAGAGAGTCAGTAAGGATCTCGGAAACTCGGCCACTCGGATCTGCAGCCGTTGCATTCCCGGAAACCGCTTTGTCGGGAATGCGTACGGTCCACGGTATCTAATTATTGCCAAGGTCGCTGTGCGGCCACTTTTCATGCTCTCTCGGGTTCTTCCGATTACGGTGACTTCTCCCGGAAATGTCCGGCGGTTGGAATCGTAACCGGCAGATCCGAGAATACCAAGTCGCGATTCTTCGCCGCTAGTTTTTGTAGAAAATTATTGCCAAGAACGCTGTGCGGCCGCTTTCCATGCTCTCGGGTTCTTCCGGTTACGGTGACCTCTCCCGGAAATGTTCGGCGGTTGGAATTGAAACCGGCAGATAACAGAATACTAAGTCACGATTCTTCGGGCCTCGCGGCACGTTTTCGTAGAAACTCGGGGCAGTCGGCGAAAAAATAATTGTACGATTATCTATACCGTCTAGATCGATTTGAAAAAGCCTTCACTATAATCTCCATAAATAATTTCCAATGAAAAATATTTTTTCATTCGCGAAAGCGAATTTTTCTCCTTCGGTTTCTCCTGCTTGGAAACTCTGCGTTCGAACGTCTCTCCAGGGTCTGCAAAATTTTTCCCACGACTCCGATTACCACAATCTTCAAGACCAGAGTCTCTTCTTTCGAACGACGTCAAATTTTTCGATCTACGATTTTTTCTTCCTTCTTTGTCGCGGTCCGAAGCGGCCGAGGTCGACGCCGCGGAAAAATGAATTTTGACAGATTTTCGATCTTAATTCCAATCCCTATTGGCTTATTTTTTTATTTTTTATTTTTTGTCACGAGTCACGATAGATATAACAATAAATAATGACAAATAACCTTGCAATAGGCGCGGACAAGTTTTGTTTGACAACAATTTATTTTGCGACATCGCATCGTGCTCCCTTTTTTTACAGAGAAACGAGAGGAGAGAACGGGAGCAGAGGGAAATGGCGCGGCTCGCCGCGAAAGAAGCAGGAATGGGAAGCGACGACGGGTCCTCGAGAATATCGAGGTCGCATTCTATCACCGATAGCGATACCTATACTCAGGTAATAATTGCGTCAAACGTCCTAATTTGTTCACAGGCTCCTCTCTAATTTGCGTATTCCTGCAAATTATCTCTTTTACGTTCAAACGTGAATATCAATGAAAACGATCGCAAAAGTCACCGAAGATCTGCAGACTTATTTCGACGCGACGAATCGCACACGAGAATTATAGAATATCGAAATTATGTTTATCGTAAAGCTTAGAAGGCCGGGACTCGGCTAATTGTGCCTATTCCATGCAGCGGCCGATTTCGTTCGAGCCGCTCTCTATCTCGAAATAAGACAAATAGAACGACTTGTTGTGAATTGTAGACGTTCGAGGCCACTCCGCCAATTAATCCCTTGTGCAGAACGAGCGGATTGCTCTTATGCCTGTTACTCGACTGTTTGCAACTTCGGTCTGAATGCAAATTGTGCGGCGCTGGTGCGCGAATAGCGGCCGGCTTTTTATTTTTAGCCGACAGGTCTGCGCATTTTTGTTCAATGCGCTTTAACGAAGCCTTTTGAACTTTTGGATTCCCTTGTCCAATGTTTCGTCCGCGATACCCGCTGCGAACTCTTTTTTCTTTTTCACAGACAATTCCCACTTTTCCCTTTTCGAGATTAGCATCGAGCTTGAAATTAACTGTTTCGTTCGCGATGATATTTCTTTTTCGTAGCTGCAAATACATTTGTGCTGCGGTATATATATGTATTTAAGCTCTGCGAGAAACCATCGTTGCATATATTAAAATATTCATTAGTAATTCTGGGAGATTAATCAGCGTGCACGAAACGTAATTTTTTCCAACGGCGGGACACGTTAAGCATTAATTTACGGCACGATATTTTTCGTTATCATCGACGGTTTTCGACGGTATTTTTACGGCGATCGATGGTAACACGTTCGGCGCAACCGTCACGTGTATGCGTAACGACCGCGGTATCGTATTTCACGCAAAGAACGTCGAATAAATTTTATGCCGTTGATACTTCAAGTTGCGACGTACCGATGGTCTACGAACAACAGTTTCTATTTCACCCGATCGATTGAAATTTTGTAATTCGCGAGTTCTCTGTAATAAATTGAAAATTACAATAACATTGCTATGCGTACATATGTACAGTAAATTCTCCCTAATTGACGCTCAGATTGTACACAAAACTGGACAATTTGGGAAGAGGAGACACCATTATTCGCGAGCCTATCTGGAAATGGCGGGTTTCTCAGATCATTTGAAGCAACTTCTTCCTTTACAAAAATGTTCTCCGAGGCACCGTTAACGAGTTATTAACGAAAAACGGTGACCAATAAGAATCGAGTACGGCTGACGCGAGGCGGCCCAGCCAACCAGCGCACGAAGCCCAGTTCCGCTCATTGTCTCGGTCGCCTCGCGCCAACTGAGCTCGCCTCTCATTGGTCACTGGTTTTCGTTAATAACTCGTTAACGGTGCCTCGGAGAAAATTTTTGTAAAGGAAGAAGTTGCTTCAAATAACCCGAGGAACCCACCCTGTATATCTTATCTATATCGAGCCTAATAATTATATGTATATAATTTGTTTATATAATTTTTGTGGACAATTCGAGGGTCACTTAGGGAGAATTTACCATGTATGGTGACGCAGGACCGGAAGAACTCGTGGCAGAGCTGCGAGGAGCTGCGCAAATACAAAGACAACAACAGCAGGGAGAAGCAGAACACCGTGTGGAGGCATCAGATAGACGAGCCTAAATGCAACATCCAGAAGGAGAACAAGATGTTGGGAGGCGCGGGACAACCGCCGATAATTACCCACACGGCGGCTACCCCGCAGGACTCGCCTAACACCACCCTAGACGTCGGATACAGGGACTTGAACTGCCAGGCTGTTTATCCAACCGCGGCACTGTCGATCGAATCTATCGATCGTTCAGGCGTACGTGTAACATCTGAACTACACTGGTAGACAAAATCATAGGCACCCCGGGGATCGGCCAAATAGGGGTTCGACGGTCCTTTTGCGTCAAAGAGCATCGTTTGTGGACAGCCGGATGATACGATGAGCGGAGCTATCAAAAATGATCGATGCCAAATAGCGGACAAGATCGTAAGGGTCTTGTCTTATTAAATAGGGCTGTTCGATTGGGACCGATATCATCGTTCATTAAAACGAGACATTTTCGATGCTGTTCGATGTAACTACATATAGGATATGCTTGTTGCGCTTTCATTAATGTCCGACAATTTTGTCCGCTGGTGTAGCCTATACAATTTAACAGAATGTTAACAGAAGCGTTCTTTTTCTTTTTTGTAGAGTCAATGCAGCATTCCTTCTGGACTATTGAAACTACCGGACGTTTCTAACAAGATACCAACCAAAAACCTAATCGCCGGACAATTTCCGCGGCGAATAAGCCTAGTCACTGCTACCATCAACCCTAGGGAACCATCCAGCTCAAGGTTACTTGCTACAATCTTCGTTTATATCGATTGATTTATATTTGTAATTTATATTATGAAACAACCTTAATTTATATTTATAATTTATGTTATAAAAGAACCTTAATTTATATTATAAAATATGCTTAATTTATGTATTAGAAGAGCACGTATTTCGTCCAATTTTTTAACTTGATGTATGAATTCGTATCGACGAGGAGTAGCAGGAGCAACAAATAATTTCGAAAAGCAAAAAAAAAGAACATTGTTTCTTCAGCAGCCCGCCAAGAATACAAAGGGGTTATTCGTGGAAACTATCTCGTCCCTCTCTAAGAAGGAAACACTGGTCGCAAAGCGAGGATGAACCTCTTGGGAGAGCCACAGTTCTAAACAATGGTCGGAGCACTTTGCTCGGCTCCAATTCGACGTAAGTTCCCGGCAAATGGCTCGCCAATTGTTTACCGAAATAACCGAACAATCGGCGACGATTTGTCCTCTGATTGCGTTACACGTGTTCGCCGATTGATCTGATTGATCGTTTCACGAAATGTTGCAGCTTCAACGGCGGTTATTTGCACGGTTCCATAAGAAACGACACGCAATGCGATACGCCGAATAATCGTACGGCCGTCCTAACAAGCAATAATCGTAGCCTCAGCCCTAATAACTCGATATGCAGTCGTAGCTCCTCCATACGACGTTACACGGCGACGCCTAATCAGGTCAGCGATATTTTTATTCGCGTATGGACACTTAGATTGTCGTCTACAGATGATGTAATCACGAAGGGGATGATTCTACGTACATGAAAACGATCAAAATTTGCCCTATTTCTGCCCGAGTCAATTGAACCTAGAATATTTGCAAAACTGTTGGCTGTGCAGGAAAATGTATGTCAAATTAAAGTTGAATGATTCCACCACGTTGACTAGACAATGCTTCGAACTGGCTCCCAAACTATCCTATAATACAAAAACTGATCCAATGTATCTGATTATTATGTTGTAAAGATGCGTTGGATCGGCGACCTGTCGCGAAGAACCTCGCTGCGCGGATACGAGAACGTTCAGTCGCCGACGAGGAAGACCCTACCTCTGGACGAGGTGCACGTTCAATGTGCAACGGCGCGTACAATCAATAACTTGTCGATGGAGACCGGTCCACTGCCCAGAATCAAGCAACTTCCCGATCAAGATGACGACAATCCGCGCACCGACGAACAGGCGACCCCGTTGAACGGCCACGGAAGCGCGAGCAGCATCGAGAGGATCAAGAAGATCTTCATGTTTTTCGAACCGAAAGGTTGCCTTAAAGAACGCGACGATTATTCGCTCTATCTCTTTCCATCGAACAACAGGTATTGGTTGCCCTCTGTCCTCTCGCAGGAATCAACTTCGACGGCTAGAACCACGAAGAACTCTGAACACCGTCTGTTTTCAGGTTTCGAGTTTTCTGTCGGCAGCTGGTCGATCAGAAATGGTTCGACAACGTGGTGCTCTTCTTCATCGGGCTCAATTGCATCACATTGGCGATGGAACGACCGAACATACCGCCCGACAGTGGGGAGAGGCTTTTTTTATCGACAGCGAACTACATTTTTACGGGGGTGTTCGCCATTGAAATGTTCATCAAGGTACCGTCAACCCTACCGAACTCGATTGGAATAAACGGATGAACTGGTGAACGTTGTTACAGGTCGTTGCATCCAGCATGCTGTACGGTTCGGACGCTTACTTCACCTCTGGCTGGAACATCATGGACGGAGTCCTTGTGATCATCTCCATCATCGATTTATCAATGTCCCTACTTTCGTCTAGTAGTCCAAGAATATTTGGAATATTGAGGGTACGCTGCTCGCAGAAACTTTTCTTATTTAGTCAAGATCGTGGCATCGATCCCATCGCATTTGCCTTGATCGCGTCGATTGTGTTCGCAGGTTTTTAGACTTTTAAGGTCGCTGAGGCCGTTACGCGTTATTAACCGAGCTCCTGGTTTGAAACTGGTTGTTCAAACATTGTTGTCCTCTTTACGACCTATCGGCAACATCGTTTTGATATGCTGTACTTTTTTCGTAATCTTCGGTATCTTGGGCGTGCAGCTCTTCAAGGGTGCCTTTTATTATTGCGAGGGGCCTGACGTTAAAAATGTGCGCAATAAGACGGACTGCCTAGCCGACAAACGGAACGTTTGGCTGAATAGAAAATATAATTTCGACGACCTCGGCAAAGCTTTGATGTCGTTGTTCGTGCTGTCGTCGCGGGACGGATGGGTGAACATCATGTACACCGGACTCGACGCCGTTGGCGTTGATCAACAGGTTAAATCGAGAGCTTCTCCTATTCTCGTTTCATTCGCGCGTGCTCGTATCGCGTTCGAGATATGCTGAAGAATTGCCTCTGGTTCCAGCCAATCGAGAACTACTCCGAATGGCGTCTGCTGTACTTCATAGCGTTCATCCTGCTCGTCGGTTTCTTCGTGCTCAACATGTTCGTGGGAGTTGTGGTGGAGAATTTTCATAGATGCCGCGAGGAACAAGAGAAAGAGGAACGCGTGCGAAGAGCCGCCAAACGAGCCCTGCAGATGGAAAAGAAAAGGCGAAGTACGAGCGAACGTCTGGGCGACGCGATGTAGTCGATTACCAAGAAGTTATTTGATCGTAACTTTCACTCCGTTTCAGAGATGCACGAGCCACCTTACTATACGAACTACTCGAAGTCCAGGCTCTTCGTTCACAACGTTGTAACATCTAAGTATTTCGACCTAGCAATCGCTGCGGTAATCGGCCTGAACGTTGTCACAATGGCAATGGAATTTTACATGATGCCGAAGGCTCTGACTTACGCCCTGAAAATATTCAATTATTTCTTCACCGCGGTCTTCATCCTCGAATCCTTCATGAAGCTTCTTGCTTTGGGTGTGCACTTGTACTTAAAAGACAAGTACGTAATTCGTTCTACATTATTGCACACACGGCTCATAAAATGAAACAAACTCTTCTATTATACGAGTCAAATTACAGATGGAACCAATTGGATATTGGTATCGTGATATTGTCGGTGGTTGGCATAGTCCTCGAGGAAGTCGAATCGAAGATCATCCCAATTAATCCCACGATCATCCGGGTGATGAGAGTCTTGAGAATCGCCAGAGGTAGGTCGTCGAAGGCGGAGAGAGTCGTCGAAGACAACGGAATCGGTAAACGCTATAACAAACCCATCTCCTTGCAGTTCTGAAGCTACTGAAAATGGCTAAGGGAATACGAGCTCTTCTGGACACTGTGATGCAGGCGTTACCGCAGGTCGGAAACTTGGGACTATTATTTTTTCTGCTCTTCTTCATATTCGCGGCACTTGGTGTGGAGCTGTTTGGCCGGTTAGGTAAGCTAACCGGATTATAGTCGATAGAAGATCGCTTCTAGAAGAGTCGATTTCATTGCAGAATGCAACGACGACATGCCGTGTCAAGGACTCGGCGAGCACGCCCACTTCAGCAACTTCGGTATGGCGTTCTTGACGCTTTTTCGCGTGGCCACCGGCGACAATTGGAACGGCATCATGAAGGACACGTTAAGGGACGACTGCGACGAGGCAGCGGACTGCGTGAAGAACTGCTGCGTGAGCACTATCATCGCGCCGATTTTTTTTGTAATTTTTGTATTGATGGCGCAATTCGTTCTCGTGAACGTCGTCGTCGCAGTGCTGATGAAACACCTCGAGGAAAGCCATAAACAGGTGTGAAACTGTTACAGACGGGGTATATATTTTTCGGACATTTGTTTTGTAAGCGGATGTAAATGCAAATTTCATCGTTTGACAGATGGAAGATGAACTGGATATGGAAACGCAACTGGAAAGAGAATTAGCTGCTGAACAGGAGGAACTGTTGGAGGTGGAAGAAGAAGAAGACGAAGACGACAGTCCAAGAAGGGATAGGGATGTGGATGACGGCGTTGGGGAGGATGACGACGTCAGGGAGCGCGAGTCCATTTTGGTGACGAACGACAAGATTCCTATCAGCAGACCTGGTCTCGCTAAAGTCCGTTCCTTGCCTGCGAACTTTATTTATAATCCACCGCGAGAGAGGAGCGGAGACGGTGTGTTCGTTAGACGATTATGTTGCCTGTAATCTACGTTCGAAGACAATTGATTTTTTTTCTAGAGAGACGGAACTGATCTTGAACGGATGAGTTGATTTCAGCAGAAACGATAACTTTGATATTTTTCAGATGGATCAGTGTCCATGTCACTGTCGCGTCGCAGCTCGTATCATCGTCCCAATTCAAGGCCGTCCAAGTTCAAGTCAAAGCGTCGACAAACGTTCCATTCGGGGCATCACCAGAGAAGGTCCTTACTGCCGATGCACTTCGAAGTCGCCGAAGTTTTCGAGAAGCCTGTCAGCAATCTAAGTGTGCCTCGAATCATTTCTCAACACACTTACGAATCACCAGCAACCCGTGACCTTGGTCGGCCGCAACGTCACCGGCTACAGGTGAATCTTATTCGTATAGCATCGTCTCTGATCGTTCTAATTTGAGAAAACAGAGGCTAGACGTTGCTACCTCGAGCCAGACACGAAAAGTTAGAAAATTGGTACAGATATTGGCAAGAGGAGATCGTTCGTTCGTTCGACTAAAGTACGGTTGTTTTCAGGCGACCAGCGACCCGCAAGACAACAAGTCCCTACTGAGCGTGAGCAGACCACCGCCAGCGAGCTCATCATCCCCGGTGACGCCGGCCGGCTCGGTGACTGGTCTAGCCATCCCGAAACCGAGCAGCGAGCGTTACCTTCTGCCAACGGCCACCATATACCCGTCCAAGGCGACGTTGAATCGCAGACCGTCAGGCGACACGCAGTCGCAGTCCGACACGAACGTGAGTTCCGGGACCGGCAGCAGCGGGTCAAAGACAATGACCGGTACGAACGGCAGCAGCGAACCATCAAAGACACTCAGCAACAAATCCGAAGACGCTAAAGCCAAGGACGAGAGACGCGTATCCGCGCCGCCGGCGGACGACTTCGACGTACAGTCGATCATTAACGAAAGGAGACCGTCCAAGCTGAAAGCCGGTGGCTCGTCGGTGGTGCTGACTGGCGTGCCAGATCAGTACAGCGCCGCGATCCGAGCCGGTAGCTACGGACGCATTTACGTCGCCGAAGAGAGGTCCGAGGACGCGGCCTCTTCGCCCCTGTCGACCGGCAACGCCAGCGACAGCCAGGTCGGCAGCGGAAGCGGCAGCGGCAGCGGTAGCGGAAGTGGCAGCAGATCCGGCAGCGCCGTAGTCTACATCCCGGACAACGTCTGCGCGAGCTTAGGCACCGAAGTCAGGATCTACGTCGACGACACTGACTCGACGAGTAGCAACGGACTCCGTCGAAGACAGCACAGCGGCGACGAGACGCCGGACGCGTCGACGATCGTCTCTTCGGCGACTCCGTTGAAGGAGGATGCCGAAGAGACGGAGACCGAGGCTACGGGCAGAGGGAGACCGACCTCCGACGGGCCCTCTGATCATCCTTCTTAATCGGAAACGAACCCCCGCCTCCTCCCCCGTTCGCAACCGGTCTCCACCCGGTGACTTTCCAGTTTTTAAAACCGTCAGCCGACCGCCATGGTACCCCCGCGGCGATGTACCATGGGGTAGCTAAGCTGCGAGGGCCTCAGACCCTGGGCTCTGAGAAAGACTGTAGTGCATGACAATATAGTCGTTATATTCTAGTCACTTCGTCGCCGTGAACTTGCCAAAACCGACAAAACGAAGAAAAATCCCAAAAAAATGAGGAGCAGAAATAATTATCGCCGAGAGAGAGAGAGAGAGAGAGAGAGAGAGAGAGAGAGAGCTCGTGGACCTTTGGGGGTTCTAGGGGGCAGCTAATGCGAGGTGAATCGCGCGGGCAGGAAGAACTATATACGGGGTGGGAGAAGCATAACGCAACTTGATGAAGAAGCGTAAAAAGGATTAAGAGAACCTATGACAATCTATTATTGCCAGACGGAACTGGTTTTACGTTCCGAGACGTCGCGGACGGAGGTCGATCCGTAGGAATTGGGTAGGACGAAGAACGACGTAGACCTTTCGCGCCGATAAATGAGAAAACAATTAGAGAAGTTCCGTAGCTGTTAGGTAGATTATTAAACGTCGAGTCTACGCGACGATCGCAATTAATCGGACCACACTTTCTCGCCTTTCCTTTTTCTCCAGCTCGTCGGATACGGGAATGAGCGAACGTTGATAGAGAAGGGAACACGAGGTGGATGACGAGGAGCACGACGAAGAGAAACTATAGAGAGGGAAAGAGATGCGCTCTGTCGTTCGCAGCAGGGTCTCGAGAGTGTGGTAGCTCTCGGGCAGCGTTGTCATGGACCGGGTATCGCAATCATGGTCTCCTTTGGTAGCCGCGTGTATGACAACGCTGATTACTCGAACGACGATGCCAAAACGGGGAACGGTCGTTACCGAAGTGCCAGATTATAAACAAATCTAGATAACAGTGAGAAAAAAAAAGAGATATAAACATAAACGATGAAAACTTTCCGGAGGAAAACGTAGCGCGTAGAGACACACACTCTCACATACACGGACACACACAGAGAGACACACACACGTACCTAGGTGTAAAAGTGAGAGGTCGGAGGAAAAAAAGAGAGACAAGAGAGCGACAAACGGGAAAAATCGTTAGCAAAAAAAAAAAAAAAGAAACCACTAGACGTTAAGGACGTACCTTCGTAATGAGATATTTTCAGAACCAACGTACAGTCGACGGGAGCGTTCGAGGAAGTAGGCTGAAGAAAACTATATTGTTACTATTGGCTGAACACAATCGATCGCGGCCAGTTCATGATAGCTCTTAGTCGATGATAATGATGGTATATTTTGTCTCTTTCGCTACCGACGTGTAATCTAGTCGAGCCTCGAGGTGTATAATTGTAAATGTGATTAGAACCTTAAGACTAAAGAAATCCGACGTTGTGATAATCTTGAATACAAATTGAAACTCGTACAATCTTAAATCCTCCATGTCAATTGGTACACTCGACGAGTTCACGTGGATAGCTTAATTAACCGTGAGACAGCTGCCGTGTAAACTCTTCCGGAATTAATGCTGCGGCGACCAACGATCGTGGAATATTCACCCCCCACTCTCCTTGACCCTTCACACGACCCCTTCTTCTTCTTCTTCTTCTTCTTCTTCTTCTTCTTCTTCTTCTTCTTCTTCTTCTTCTTCTACCTCCCTTATCGTCCCGTTTCTCCAATAACCCTCTACGCCTCTCTTTGCCCCATACCGTCTCTCCTCTTCCTCTTTTTCCTTTTTCTCGCGCGTTTCTAGAACGTTCTTCTCGTTAACATCTGTGATATACTTTAATCGTAGTGTATTTTCCTGTAAAACGGCTAAAAATGGGCAGTGAACATCCAGAGATGTAGCGACACATTACAAAAAAAATAGTAATGAGAGCATGATGATAACAGAGTAAACGGACCGGAGAGAAGTATCGTAGCAAAAGAAAAACAAGAAAAAAAATAAGCAGAGTACGAAAACAATTAGAGGCGTAGCCGACTTTTTAAATGAAAACGAAGACGAGCGTTTCACCCTCTGGGCAGAGTGTTAGGGGGACGTGTATACTATGCAGGGTGAAAATTCAGTATCAGTGCAAGGGCGTCGATGGAACTCGTTTCGGAGCAAGTTGAAAGTTTCCGAAGAGCGTAAACTTAAGTCTTAAATTCGATCGAAACAGAATTCTGTAATACGTATGATTTACCCTAATTTGTTCACGTAACAACGTACTGTAATAATGTACACTGTTTCACTTTTGTGAGTATAGCGAAAAAACTTTCCTTCAAAGAGTGATGAAAAGTATGTTCACAGACTAAATAGGACTAACAAATTGTTGAGAAACTAAAGTTGCACACAGGCTTTGGAAACCTTGAGGTACATAGACCGATCATGTTTCTATTATACTCATTCAACTTCCCCTTTCTTCGATGCAGTCCAACGAAAGAGTTTGAGAATTAAATGACACAGTGACGATGGCACAAATGAAACGACAATCCTTATCGAGTATACGGAACGATTGTTTTTGTCAAGACATCATGGTAACTGTTTCTTCAAATGTGAGTTCTATCGTGCTCTACAGTCTGTACTATACTCTATTTACACCCACGCTATGTGTATACATTGTCGGTGGAAGAGGTATAGTAAATTAAGTGGCACACGAAGCGCTAACAATGTGGCCGCGAACCACTAAATGTATTACAGGGCCTCCATAACGGGCCTACTTAGGCTCTTAATCGGTTATGGTCGGATCAAAATCAATGGACACAGCTGGGTCATTCTGGGAAATAAGTTTGTAGGCGAAGATGTGTCGAGTTTCGCTAATCAACTGTCTGATCAACGCTAAGGATGATAATTACAACAAATAGTCTTGTTTGAATCTAAGAGTTTAAGGTATAAATCTGCTCTCTGTACTAAATAGATTTGTGAGAATATTCTGAAGGTGTATTGGTGAAGATGGGGCATGCACGATGACCTCGAGTGTCCACTTGGTTTAGCTCTGAGTATAGCTTGCCAATGAATCGAATTTGGCCCTGAAATGTTAACTCCCAACATACAAAGCTGCATACCTCTTCTATCGACAAGAAATACGGTGAATGTCACTTGAAACTGTGTAACATGATGCTGCAACGTTTTTATTTAACGAAAATGATCGAGTAAGGTTTGTNTTCTTCTTCTTCTTCTTCTTCTTCTTCTTCTTCTTCTTCTTCTTCTTCTTCTTCTTCTACCTCCCTTATCGTCCCGTTTCTCCAATAACCCTCTACGCCTCTCTTTGCCCCATACCGTCTCTCCTCTTCCTCTTTTTCCTTTTTCTCGCGCGTTTCTAGAACGTTCTTCTCGTTAACATCTGTGATATACTTTAATCGTAGTGTATTTTCCTGTAAAACGGCTAAAAATGGGCAGTGAACATCCAGAGATGTAGCGACACATTACAAAAAAAATAGTAATGAGAGCATGATGATAACAGAGTAAACGGACCGGAGAGAAGTATCGTAGCAAAAGAAAAACAAGAAAAAAAATAAGCAGAGTACGAAAACAATTAGAGGCGTAGCCGACTTTTTAAATGAAAACGAAGACGAGCGTTTCACCCTCTGGGCAGAGTGTTAGGGGGACGTGTATACTATGCAGGGTGAAAATTCAGTATCAGTGCAAGGGCGTCGATGGAACTCGTTTCGGAGCAAGTTGAAAGTTTCCGAAGAGCGTAAACTTAAGTCTTAAATTCGATCGAAACAGAATTCTGTAATACGTATGATTTACCCTAATTTGTTCACGTAACAACGTACTGTAATAATGTACACTGTTTCACTTTTGTGAGTATAGCGAAAAAACTTTCCTTCAAAGAGTGATGAAAAGTATGTTCACAGACTAAATAGGACTAACAAATTGTTGAGAAACTAAAGTTGCACACAGGCTTTGGAAACCTTGAGGTACATAGACCGATCATGTTTCTATTATACTCATTCAACTTCCCCTTTCTTCGATGCAGTCCAACGAAAGAGTTTGAGAATTAAATGACACAGTGACGATGGCACAAATGAAACGACAATCCTTATCGAGTATACGGAACGATTGTTTTTGTCAAGACATCATGGTAACTGTTTCTTCAAATGTGAGTTCTATCGTGCTCTACAGTCTGTACTATACTCTATTTACACCCACGCTATGTGTATACATTGTCGGTGGAAGAGGTATAGTAAATTAAGTGGCACACGAAGCGCTAACAATGTGGCCGCGAACCACTAAATGTATTACAGGGCCTCCATAACGGGCCTACTTAGGCTCTTAATCGGTTATGGTCGGATCAAAATCAATGGACACAGCTGGGTCATTCTGGGAAATAAGTTTGTAGGCGAAGATGTGTCGAGTTTCGCTAATCAACTGTCTGATCAACGCTAAGGATGATAATTACAACAAATAGTCTTGTTTGAATCTAAGAGTTTAAGGTATAAATCTGCTCTCTGTACTAAATAGATTTGTGAGAATATTCTGAAGGTGTATTGGTGAAGATGGGGCATGCACGATGACCTCGAGTGTCCACTTGGTTTAGCTCTGAGTATAGCTTGCCAATGAATCGAATTTGGCCCTGAAATGTTAACTCCCAACATACAAAGCTGCATACCTCTTCTATCGACAAGAAATACGGTGAATGTCACTTGAAACTGTGTAACATGATGCTGCAACGTTTTTATTTAACGAAAATGATCGAGTAAGGTTTGTTACACATTTCTAAATTGAATATTACACCAAAGTCATTCATTGTTCTCTAAAGAAATGACTTTCTTAACGGACACCGAAGTACTATGGAATAAGAGTTCGATAATGCTGTATATACGAAATTAAGTTTCAGTTTATGAACGATTGTGTACGTATCACTATTATCCATCATTCTTTGGTAAGATTATACACTAGTCATCCTTTTTTGCTCGTTCATTTATAGTAAGGCAACTTTTTCAAACATAGTGTATATAATAGTCAATTATGAACTGAGATATAAGCAGATTCAAACTTCGTCAAATTAATATTCTCATTGACTTGTGCTCAGTAGCTTAACGATTGCATATAAGGTACAGAAATAAGCTGTTGTATATAATATGCAAGTTAGGCTTTTGTAGCGATACCAACGTCAGACGTTTATGCAAAATATGATTTTTCTACCGGACTCCTGCTATAGAGCTTGATTGAAAAAAAAGAAACGATACCACAGATAACATTGAAGGAAATTGAAAACATTTGTATACAGTTTCAAGTAATGGTCCCCGTGTAAGTATAATAGGGAAACTCTACTGTACATACATACACTTACGAATATTCTACATACTCTACACTTGGTGTGGTTTATTTTGATACTACCGTGTGCGGTAATATTTAACGATTGTCGGAATAAATCCAACAACAACAAAATAATAAAAAAAAAAATGAACAAATATCTAAAGTAAATAAAACTCTATGCCTTCTAACGTTGACGAACGTTGACGAATCTTCGTGCGGTGGTGGTGCCCGCGCTTCGGACGATCAATTGCGAATGACGACTCCTCTTCGTTGACTCGAAGCAATAGGCTGTTAATTAAATATTTATCAGCGCTGTGCGCCTCGTTATACGGACCGGTTCGAAAGCTTCGAGACCCTAGGAAGCCACGATTCTATCTGAGAAATAGCTTGAACAAACTTTTTATTTATTTATCGAGCCCTCGCCTAAGCGCTGCTCGACTTATAAACTTTCGTTACACTCGTTTTCTAATGATTAATTTTAATTCATTTATCAGTTCTATCGAAGATCGATTCACGCGTCTCGTGGAACACGATTGTACTTCAACGGAACATTGTATGAGACCATGTAAATACACTTTATAAACATATAAAATAAATCATTCAGTTCATTTGCTATGTATATTTAATACTGCACACACGCCATTATTTACACGTGATCGATTTATGTTAAAACACACGATTGTTCGATTAATTAGATCGGTTCGAATAGTTCCATCGAACGGTAAATAAATTTTTCATTCGATTCTCTGTTCGTTTAATTCTCATTTTGCATAAACATCCGCTGTCTTGACGTCTTTGCGAACGATCAGGAAATTCGTTAACGGTGCAAATGTACCGGATTAAATGAACTCAAGGAAGAAATTCGTGAGTTAATAATTAATTACTGCGTTCAACGAAATGATTTTCTGAGCTCTCGAAACTATCGAACGATCCTCGTACTATAATGTTAATCGTGTCACGTGATAGACTGTGTGTTCGCGAGAATCAATCAATTTGTTGCCATTCCAAGATCGATGGACAGCTAGCAATTGTAAATTATGGCATCGATCGCTGTTACTAGATTCGTAGCGATAGTATCTCTGTGTAACACGTTAAATTGTTGATCGAACCGGCTGTCGATCGACTTTGGCAATCGGCATTTCTCTGCATTCGGCCGAAATTATGCGATTAGGGTGAAACAGAAATCATTAAAAAAAAACGATTCGTGTTAAAGCAAGACCGTAGGGTTGCAGCGTAAAACTCTTTAATTGTTAGCTAGCCAAGTAATAATATTAACAAATAAGGGATAAGAATGAATGTTCATTTCATTTCGAAGCGGAGAGATTAGTTCACCCGTATAGACGTTCTATTTTTTTTTCTTTCTAAATAATCGCATGATAATTTCTAAGCTGTTCGTCTCGGTTTAATTCTAGCGGAATGACTATTAAAAAAAGGACTATAGTATCGCTGGACTGCGAGATTTATGCACTTGTAGCATAAACGATTGTCGAGAATTCAGTGTAGTAAACATTTTGTAATGTTCAATGCGCTTTGTACTTTATTTCGAACCTGATTAAATATTTAACGATCTTTTAAACAATTTTTCTTTCGATCGCCAAGTAGCAATACATTGTATTTTAACAACGCGAGATTCGATCGATTTTCGACCCAGTCGATCTCTTCGAGTATAGTGATCGAGGCTGATTAGGGGTGTTAACTGTGAATCGTTGAAATTATGGGAATTCGAGCGAAAGGTCTGAAGCGATCGAATAAACATAATCCATTGCTATTCTACGTTATTTTCTTTCAATATTCACAATCAATTTCTTTCTAAAATTGTTATAAATATTAAACTCAGTTCCAGATATAACTTTTCGATATCATGCGTCTTCCTTGCAAGGTAAATTTCGTTGAAATTCGCGACTTTAATTAACGCCAATGTTGATCGAGGACAACTCAATAGGCCAAGATCAATCGAAATGATTTTCTAAAAATATAAACCGCGACAAAATCGCCGGAGGAAAATTATAACACCGTATTGGACAGCTCTGGACCTCTCGATCGGACGATCCCTCGTATCCTAATCTATAATCTAGTTAATCTGCTAATCATAGTAAAAAATGCGTGAAGTGATCGCGGCACCACGACCGACTCTCGATAGCTCGATAGCGTTAGACGACTGATCTCCGAATTATAGTTTACTCTAGCCACGATTCAATGACGCGTTTTGCCGCGCGTGGTCATTAGGCGAGTCCGATCGGAGGAATAACAAAAACAGAAGAAGCGAGAGAAAAGAGAAACGAGAGACAGAGAGCGGAGAGCGTGTAATTAACAAATCGGTGTAATAGAGTGTGGATTACTAATCGCTATAGAGGAAGCTAAACCGTAAACGAAAACACGAGCAAGAAAAAAAAATTGTAAGAAACTAAACGATATGCAATCTCGCGTGTGTGTGTGTGTGTGTGTGTGTGTATGTTGTATATACAATGTATATTTATAGCTGCGTATACATGCGCACCTGGAGGCGACGATCCGCCGATCAACAGGTAGATCTTTTCATCGTGAACTACTCGGTTCGATGAGATCATCGTAGATCGTTTATTATTACTTTGCCTATCGCGGTAGTCGTTTCGCCATCCGGCGAAGGCCGAGTCTATTCCGAACCAGGATGGTTCGAAACGATTCAAATCGCGAGAACATCCTCTCATTTGTTCGATTAAAATGTATTCGTCAATCGCGCGTGGAAACCGGTTGAGAAAAAGTTCTGCGACACTGATTTTTGGAAAAACCTATTTTTGCATTTTTACAACGAAAACAAAACAAAGAAAAACAGAATACGATTAAGTAAGAAGCTTTTTCTTCGGTCTTCAGTTGTGGCACATACGTGAAAGAATCGAGTGTTCGAAAGGCTCGATAACGATTTGATTTTCTAAATTACCTAGTCCGACTTCGACTTCGACCTAATCTCGAAGCTCTCGAGAGAGATACACTCCCGTACATAAAGCCCGTATAATCTAGGATGTCGAAAGTCTCTGAAATTCTAAAACTACTTGAAAGTATTGATGTTGTGACGCGCTTGCAAATTAGTTAGACGCATACACAGACCGTGACCATCGATGACGATTCGTATCTAATTAACGGCTTTGTCAAAGGCTGATTTCGAGTGCAGGATTTCGTTTATCCGGGCCAGGCTCTGTGAGAGTCAGTGGTTCGTGAAAGGGTCCACCTTTGATATGAATAGACACCGGCGAAGTAGTATGCTCGGTGGGACTGTAATCGAGAGCACGTCTTGCCTCGGCATCTCGAGCATTCTCAAAACTAGAGGAGAAACTAATGAGAAAGTTTATTTAAAAAAATCTGTTAAAAAGATCAATCTCGACACCGATCGAATTCTGGCCTATAATATGAAGGAACGTCTGCTTTACAGACCTGCCAAATTCGAAGAACACTGGTCTATTAATTACCGAGCTTTTTCATGCGAGCCAATTTTCAAAAGCACGATTTTTGCGCCAAAGGAGAGCTCACTATGTATCGTTCCCTCAGCCGAAGAAATCGTCGATTGGTCCCGCCGGGTACGCTAATTGACTGTATCGTTGCCTGGAGGTGTGCGCCCGTATAGTTACGTGAATATAAGTACAAGAAACGTAATCAGAATTATAACGTGTTATTCAGTGTACTTGTTGCCGCGTGCCTCTCGAGTCTGTTCTTCGCCCCTAGAAGAGGCAGTGCGTAATCGTCTATTTGAAAAAGACCAAAAAAGCGCCCCCCAAAAAAAAGCAAACACAAAAAAGAAACATAATGGAAAGAAGAAGGAGAAGAGAAATAAAGCGAAAGAAAAAGAGAAGCTAGCCGCCACCCTCGGAAGTACCGTGCTGTTTTAATTGAAAGCTGTATCGGAGGAACGTTCGTTTGAGAACGTGAATTTCAGGTCGTCGGTACGATCAGAGACGGAGGGGAGGGAGAGGGACAGAGAAAGAATGTACGTGCGCGTGGGAGTCTGAAAGAATGACGGAGCACGACGATAGAGACGTAGAACAAGACTAAATATGTACAAATGTAATAAATTGAATGACGATTACGTTGAATCGAGCCGTCGAGTGTTTTCTTTCTCTGATGCCTTTTATAAGTATTTTTCATCTATTTATTGACACGAGCACGTAAAATATCGTCGGTATAATCATTGTTATAGCTGTGTGAAGCTGATTCGAATCGAAAATTTTAAGTAAGCGCATGCGTATACACGATTTCAGGTGTGCGCACGCGTTAACACGATTTCAAATCAGCGCACGCGTACGTACGATTTAAAACTTGCGCATGCGTTAACAAGATTTAAAAACAAACGCATGCGTACGTATAATTTGAAAGCAAACGCATGCGTCCATGTGATTTAAAATATGCGCATGCGTGCATACGGTTTAAAATTGAAACAAGCAAGTCCACGAACGTAGCTTCAAACTCTATACCACGTGCGCATGCGTAGTACTCAATTACACGCGCACCATGTTTAAATGTGGTAAACCGCAATTAGTTTTACTTTATCAGATAAAAAGATTGCAATCTTTTCAATTTTAATGTGTAGATATATTTATTTATTGCCAATAAGGATGTGTAATTATTTACAAGTTTTTGCTTGATACATGGAACATGAAAAGTTGAACTATACATGTATGTATAGGTGTTTTAAATGTCATTTATATTTGATAAATGGTAGGCAATACCTATCGCATAAAAGTTATATAGAAAGAGAAGAAAATTACGTTTTGTTGCTTATTTTACTAGCATCGATTAAATTTCTAACAGCGAAATTTTATTACTGTTTTCTAAGATTATACATGTAAAGATATACATTAGCAATTTGCGAGTTTTAAGTGAATTACGTGAATATTGTTGAACGCAGATCCTTAATAATATTAAAATATTTACAGCTATCCGTCATCATATAATAAACTATGTAGTAATTCCGGAGTTTCTGGCTGTTTCAAACAAAGAGACACTTTATCCTGTAAGTTTGTAGAGTATTTGCTTTGACCCAGTTGGTCAAGATCGCGATCTAAAATTGTTTCGATTTCATCGTCGATGTACAAAGGATTTTCATAAATTTTTGACACATATGAACCACTTTGTTCTGTAGAATTTATGGTCTCGTTTATTGTATTTTGTAACTCGGTCTCGGACATATTAACCGTGTTATAAGTATTTAATGCCGCGGGTACGTCACAATTAACTATTTGATTGGTATATTGAATCTGTCCCCTCAACTCGGTTAGAGAATTAGGTAGCTGATGATATTTCACCTGATGCACTTTAAGATTACTAGTTTGCGAGAATGTTTTCATGCAAAAGTTACAATGATACGGTCTTTCGCCGGTATGACATCTCGAATGTCTTTGCAACTTATATTTTGTTACAAATTGTTTACCACAATCCGAACAAGTGAAAGAACTGTTTTCTATTTGTAAATTTTGACTATCGGCAGACTTTTCTACATCCATATGAAAGTTTATCATATGAGATTTTAATGATACTTTATAACGAAACGACTGATGACAATTTGCACACTGAAATTGTTTTTTCCCTTCGTGCCTTTCTAAATGTTTCATTAGTATTTCTTGCTGATTAAACGACATTCTACAAATCTAAAAACATTATTGTCATATTAATAAACCAGATTTTCCATATCTTTTAACCCTTGATCCTATTAAAATATACAAATTCTATTATCTTACGAACATTGCAAATAAATGGTCGTTGTCCAGTATGAATTCTTTTGTGTCTATTCAAATGTGCCTGGCACCTGAAGCTCTTTGCGCATATGGGACATATACTTTTTCTTGGACCTTGTTTCTCTAAGCCATTTTTTGATACCGTATCGTTCGCTTTCAATTGACATAACATACTCTGAAAATGAAGTATTTCTTATACTTAACTAACGCATCAATTAATAGTCACATGTTAAAACATAAATCTAATTAATAGTCATCAAATACCTCGGCAAAATCAATTTCCAAAGATGGAGCTGCAAGTTGCTTTTGTACATTAGCTACCATTATGTAAAACTCATCGAATGTACAAATCTTTTGTTCACAGTCCATACAAACGTATTTTGAAAATGTATCAGAATTTGAAATATTTATTACCTGTGCAAAGAAATTTGTTAAAATTACTGGCATTAAAATAGAAACTTATGATACGCATAGAGATGTACCTCTTTGGAGAAATATTTGTTTATGATAGAAATTAGAACCGTTCCTTTAATTTTATCTGTAAATAAATCCGTGCCTTGCAATTTCTCTTTGCCACAAAGACGGCATAACTTTAAACTTGAGCTATGTAACATCATTGTTTACAGTTGCTTTAGAATCACCTAAGAATATTAACTAAATTAAGAAAACAAATTGCATTCAATACAATTTGATATCTTTATAAACCTCTTATCAAAAGATCTTTATAATTTAGTTGCTTGTACTACTAAACACTCTTTTGTTTATTTTTTTATTGCCATATGTCACATCCCATGTCTATACACCTTTGACAGCTTCAACCAATATATTTTTCAAATAAACTTATGCCCATAGATTTAAAAATATTCTCATTCGATACACTTGTTTCACAATTGTGACATATTCTGCATGTATACTTTTTGACAATTTGCTACTACAAACTTGCTATGTACCATACAGTGGTTCTCACACACACAATCAGTATGGTATAAAGACTAAGATTTCTTGATTTATTACAAATAACAAGGTAAATTGTTAGAGTAATCCAATGTTAAAACTTGCAGAAACATTTAATGATCCTTTCAGAAAAATCTAGAATCTTTAATGATCCTAATCATAATTAAGTTTGTTAGACACAGAAGACTCATATAGAAGACAAACTCGATGATCAAATATGTTATTACGTTACATATGTGAATGTATTTTACTTTTAACAAAACTTGTCAGTAAAGTTCATCCAGTATGTATACACATCCTGCTTTGGACATGTCTGCTAACGATCTGTTCGTTTTTTATTTACTGTTCGATTATAAAAAATCAATTACTAAGGAATCCTCGAAACATATTTATATGTCGTAGTAATATACGAAATATTGGAATATTTATTAGAGAAAGTATACATAAAAATTGTTTATCATTTTAATGCAATTCAACAAACATCTTCATAAAGAATATATACTTTAACCATTAAATATCTGGACATAAGAGTGAGTTCTTTAGTTCATGAATTTCGGACATTTTGAATGGGGTGGGAAGACTGCTTGAATGTTAATAACCAATAAGAATTAAGAGGCCAAAAAAGCGCATTTTTCAAAATATTACTTTATTTC